CAAATCTTAATTAAATTTTTGGTGAAATAAAACACACAGCTACCTAAAAAAATGATTAAGGCAGTGTTTTCATCTAATCTTAGTTAAGCAAATGTTTTATGTCAAATTTCAGGACAACATCCACAGAAATATTCTGTTCCGACAACACAAATAACTACTGAAAAAATACGAAGCTACAAAACGTACTGTATCACGAATTCGTGGCTAATAAAGTAATAAAGTGATACAATCAAATACATGCTTAATCACATCAAGACCTTATTTTGACATGGCAGAAAAAACCACTACAGATGATTTAAATAATGCAAACCTACCACTAATTTTTTAAGCGTTAAAACATTTCCCATGTTTTCGTGAAATGTATGAATTTTTGAGTTGAAGTTTGCTGCTTTATAATAAAATGTTGTTTTCCAGATCTGACTTAGTTTCTGGCGAGATTCAGTCATAATCTACGCTGTCTACGATGTGTACAGTCTGTTTCATGAAACAAATAATACAGTGTTGTAGCCAATATTTTTCCAGCAGAGTAAAGTAGTTGTACAAAAGGTTAAGTTCATTCTTATCGACTGATGAACTGATTATCTGACCGAAAAGTAGAGAAAATGTATAAAAGAAAAGAGAAGGAAAAATAAATGCAATTGCAGCAGATTAATGTTTCAAAAAAATAAAGCAACTTACCCATCAAGAAAACCTCAGCTAAGCGAATGAAAATTTCATTGGGTATTGCAAAAGCGTGATACAAAGTGGGTCTTTCGACCATTACTAATAAAGTCCAGAACAATGAAAGTCGCACTATAATTAAGTCCTCTGCAGTTGATTTCCTTAAAAAACTGGCTAAACAGATGTTAAAATTTTCAATTTTAAAAAAAAGGTATTGTATACTGCACTAAATTTTTCCATTTTTCTTTTTTTTCGTAAAAAGCTTCTGCTAAATTTAGTAACATATTTATATGACTGAATTTAATTTCACAGAAGAATGAAAAAAAAAGTAATAAATTGAGGTGTCAGAAATTAATCACTCCTTATTAAATTATATGACAAATAAATGCACTACGTAATTTGAATCGATGAAAACGAACACGTTACGAAGATAATGTTTGAACTTAATAAAAAATATGACCAACTATCTTAAGCAATAAAAACAGATTTCATATTTGTACCCGTCTTTTTGTATCACATCCAAAACTCTACGAAGTGGAGCCAACATCCAAGATCCATTCACAAATGGATTTATACCCTGGGCGAACTGAACTGATATACTGCTTTCATTTTTCCTGAAATCAAAAACATCTATTTATAAGATATCCAAAAATATAGTAAGTGGGATAAACTCACTCCTGTTCCAAAAAGAGGCCTTTAATTGCATTTAAATTTGCTCGTGCTTTTTCTATGAGATCATCATGGCCATCGTAATTCCTGCAATTTCTTAGAGTTCACAGATAACCGAATTTTCAAACAGTAAATTTTTGACACAACAATTCTGATATGAAACTATAAATAGGAGAAAACTAGAAACTTACTTCGGTGGAATCCGTAAATTATCGAATAACTTCAATATGTTTTGTTGCTGTCGCGGAATTATTGCACGCAAGCATTTCTGCGCTATATCTAGTTGAACAACATCCTAAAAACACTTTTTTTTCAGGGTGTAGCAAAAGCGAGAACATGAAATCTCATCAATTTTGCATAGAGCAGAACAGATCATTTAATATCAGCAATTTTTAAGATCAAATAAGTTTTCACAATTTGAAAACGCTTATTCGCAATTAAAATAAATAATTTTGAAATGAGGCTGCAATATCAATTTACAAATTTTTTTAATTAGCAAAATGACAGTTATGTTTCTTATATCACAAAATTAAACAATTAGTGCAAAGAATAATTTATTATAGAATTAAAAAAAATTACAGATTCTCTCGCTACAAACTGAAGTAGCCTGTTCAGTTAACAACCGATTCAGTAGTAGCATCGAATTAAAATAAGAACAAAAGAATTACCGCAGCCAATCGAATTGCATTGGCATTAGTTTCTAGATCACAGTAGGACTCCTGATTGCATTCCTTCACATTAAATACTTCTAACTCCTTTATTTTGTGAGTAATGTTTTCATTTTCATTAATCACATCTGCACTCGCACCGTCTATTGAAACACTCGCTTTACTTATTTGCTCATCTAAAACCATAGCAATATGATCTCGTAGGGATCATAATATCAAAGAGATTTGGTGCAAGTCTCTGCATTATATCAAATAAAACTCCTAGCTATATTTGCAATTCAACATTTTTTAAAGTAATACTCTACTTTTCTTTTTTCATAATTCCAATCAATTCTAATGTATATCACAACAAAATATCTACTGCCTTCAGTCAAATACTATTTTTATATTCTTTGAAAGTTACATCCATATTGCTCTCGTCATACTATAGTAATTAAATTCTACAAATTCCAAATCCAAATCCTTTACGAATCCTCATCTTTTGTAATACTAATTACAGTTAACAACGCTTTCAGAAGTCCATAACTTGAATTTGAAATAATTCATACAATGATCTATATTACAAGCACATAATTTGTATGTCTCAAATACTAGATCTACTTTAAAGAACAATATCATATCATCACTTTTCTAAAATACTGTGGTGAAAAATGAATCACAATGAAACCTTGCAAAATTCTCTGTGCTTTTTGTTGCCCAAACTTTTTTGCTCGTTTCTTTAAAAAATCGATTACTCCTGGGTCTGAAAACAAAAATCGTGCATTAATTTTACTTTATTGACTTCAAACTTCCTTATTTCTAAAAAGCAGTTTTGTTTTTATCTGTGTTTAATAATAACAATAACTAATAACTAATAACCAAAACGTTCTAATATTTCTTGTTTGGCCTTTTCAATCTCATGTATGCTCATTTCCTCAATCCTCTTTTTGTTCGCCATCTCTATTTCTTCATCAACATGATCAAGTACTGACGAGCCATCAGTAACCGAGCACACTAAAGATTCACCCATATCAAGATCTACAAAAAAAAAATACACATGTATTACTTGTCTGCTGATACATGTTGCACATCAACATGAACAAGTGCAAAAACATTTCAGATAAAACACACACATAATAATTACCCTTATCAGATTTATGACCATGGATTGCATCATATCCCATAGCAAACAAACTTCTTCCGTCTTCGAGTAAAGTTTTTTCAAAATTATTAGAGCCACTGTAGTACCTAAACAATGAATAACTAAATGAATTTCTTCGGGGAAATTACAAACTAAATACAAGGGATCAACTAAAATTAAATACTGATTACCCTGACAAATCCAAGACACTTGGAAAACCTTCATCCTTGGCATCTTCATGATTTATAAGACTCGAACACTCATATGGTTGCCCAAAACTGTACAGCAAATCTATGTTTCGTTCCTAGAAGATTTACATTGATGTAGCAAAACTAATTATTTAAAAACAGTCAAAAAAACTGCCCTCGTCATTTACAAGTAAATGAAGCTTTGAAAGTTTGTATGAATTCCTTTTTTCATAAGAAAAAGCACATAACATTTTATCTGGAAACCGAAAATGATCTAAACACCTGTATGGCGATTTCCATTACGTCTGCTTTCTGTTCTTGCAGTAAAGCGTCAAGATCCAGGCAAAAACGACCTGACTGTTTGCTTATTTCATAAGATTCCTCAACACAAGACCTGGTAAAATCCACACTTCCATCAAGTTTACCCACTGATTTACCGTGCTTTCTTAAAGTGCTATCAAACATCTAAAACAAATGAGTATTTAGGATAATCACAGGACATAAACTACACTGAAATAAAATATTGCATTTGAAGGCCCAATACTACCTGATAAAAGTTTTAAGATTAAAAAAACCCTTTCGAAAAACAAAATAAAGGAATATTTTCGGTAATTTCAATTCTGAATTCTTTTGGAATCAATGGAAAAGGATAATGAAATGGCAAGATTTATCGAAAAGTATTAAATTGGCTTAAACATCACTATTTTGCTTGAAGTAGCGAATAATGGTTGTAAGCAACTACAGTTTTCACCAGTTTTATATTCCATTCCTTGCTGATTATTCATTAGACAATAGTCATTAAATTAATTAGGGATTAACTTCAATGCACAGAAAAATATACTTTACATATAAATCAATTTCTAGAAAAATAAATAGAGTACCTTTTCTTGCATATGCAGTAAATCCTCTTCGGTATCATGCGCATTCGGACGTATTAAGTTCAATTCACTATCCATCTTATACTTATTTCATCAGTAAAAAAACCTGAAAAGATGACAACATGTTAGCAATTCGAAGGAGAGTTGCAGTTGTGAGCAAAGACTTATTTTATATGTTCCAGTAGTTTTTGTGCTCTCCAAAATTTCAAAAAATATCAAATGTCGCAAATCGTTCAATTTTCCTGCTTTGAAAGAGAACATGACAAATGAAGAGAGATTGAGAAAAAATAATTAGACAAAACAATGTATGGATTACAAGAAAGAATGAGCGTAAGATAAGGAACAGTGCTACTTGTGAAAGGAAAGATTGGGAGCATTGGTTAAAACTTGCTTCATGCTAGCAGGGAGTAGAGCGGACTTGTAGAATATTATGCTTTGAAGATGCGGTAGCTTGAGTTACGGAAACACGAGGCGTTTCTCAAGATGGCATGGGTATTTGCATAATCTTTGGCGCCATGTCGGAGCTCTTCTTCAACTTGTATTTAATCGTTCTATGCAATACTGTTCCTCTAATGTTATTGTAATTTTTTTTAATCGTCATAGAAAAGTATTTTAATTTTCAGATTGTTTTAATTTGTTTGCTCATTTCTGTACGATGACAATAGTCGAAGAATTGATTTCGAAGACTGAAAAGGCGATAAAAGAATTTGATGGGTGTTTTCAGCAAAATAATATTCAAAAAGACACTTTTTATGATCATCTTTCATCTTCAGTAAAGAAGAGCATTACTTTTATTGATGAAATTCATGACAAACCTGTAACTGTCCAAATGATTACAGGCGCAACAACAGGATGGCAAGTTTATCCTAATATCTTATTCACTTTTCTTGAATATTAATGGCCTTTACCATCAGTTATAAACTAACTGTTAGTGAATATACATTTTCAGCTGTTAATTTGTAACATAAGCAAATATGTGTAAGAACATTAATTGTATTTGTTTGAATGCAGCGGTTAAAATAACGAAACGTGTTCTTCCTATCATAATGCTTAGTTTTCTACAGCTGGATATGTTTCGTTCTCTGAGAAAATATTCGTTCAGTGAACGGTGCTCATGAAGTGTGTGGAGCAGCTGAAATTAACTCTGCGTGTGAAATGTTAACTTTTTTAATCAAAAATGAACATTAAGCAACTATGATTATTGCGAGAGAAAGCATTTATTACTTTTCGATGCAGTGTCACCTAACATTTTAAAATGAAATTTACAGGATAACAGGATATTTGTTCACGAAAAGCAGCAAATTAGTGGCTGGAGTTCTTGGATGCTCATTAATTTTACTTCAGGTTTTCTATTTCCAGTCATCAAATTTCGATACATCAGGTTATATTAGTGCGCAAATACTCTTGTCTTCTAAAATTTACAAAGGTTACGAAATCAAGGTCGCATACTAATACTCAACTAGATGTCAAAAATTTCTCATAAAGTCATGTAACAGTAGTCAAACAACTTGTTATTAATCATTATTCATTTTCATGCTCATGTATCTTTTGCATGCTTTCATTTAATGTTCATAATTTGTTTCTATTTGTTGTTCTTGGTGTCATTTTTGATTATATTTTATCAGTTTACGTTTATATGGTTTTCGAAGCGTAAGTTAACTCAGTTCTAAATAGGCATAATTTTGTTGATGTGTTTCTAGAAGTATTCTGTATTATTAGTATCACTACCATCAGTGTGATGCATGGAATCTGGGAACAGGCTGCTAACATAATTGCAGCTAGCAAACCATATTTTTGTTATCTGTCATTACTTATTGGTTTTTATGCTGCTAAATGTTTTCTTTGTTCATTAGTACCGGGGCCACAACATCGATCAAAACTCAACTTACGGAATCGTACTGTATTAATCACTGGTGCTAGTTCAGGTCTCGGGAGAGAATTAGCTTTTTGTTTTTACCGAAGAGGAGCAAAATTAATTTTAACAGCACGAAGTATTGATAAACTGAAAGGACTCTGCCAAGAGTTGAAATCATTACCGGGTGTAGATAATGGTAATGAACCAGTTTATAAATATTTGGATGTCAGTGAGCCGAATGGTGTCGTAGAACTTGTCTCGGTTGCCAACAACAACAAAATTGATGTTTTGGTCAACAATGCTGGTTTAAGTATGCGAGGAAGTTGCAGGAATACAACTATGAATGTTCATAGACAAGTTAATTTTTTTTCTATTTCGGGGACTTTGCTTCATTTAATTTTTCACTAACTGCTACTAGAGACCTCTGCAAATATTTCGTTTTAAAACAAAATCTCTTTGATATAAAAATAAGTTTATTTCTAGATTTAGCAACAACTTATTTAGTAAAATATCTAGCGATCTTATAAAGTTGATGCACGTTCAAGACTGTTAGAGCCAGCTTTTCGCAAATGCCGTTGTTTTCGAATTTTTCACGCGAATTTAACCACTTCAGTATACTTTGGTCCTCATTTTTGTTGATAATATACTAAAGTATGTTCGCCGAAGGTAATGGAGGTAAATTACTTTGGCCATGTAGCCGTAACTAGTGCACTACTGGATTATATTCCGGAAGATGGGGCAATAGTGTATATAAGCAGTTTACAGGGCCGCATTGCTGTGCCATTTCGAAGCTCGTATTCCGCTAGTAAACATGCTGCACAGGTTTACTTTCAGTACTCTTTTATCAAATCTATGCCGTGGATATGATACATATTAGCTTGTTTCAAGTTAAAAAAGAAGGGAAAAAACGTGTATTCTAGGCATTTTTTGATTGCTTACGGACCGAAGAACGTTTTAACACACAGATTCTTGTTGTAAGCGCAGCTTACATCAACACTGGTTTTGGCCATAATGCACTTAAAACAGATGGTACACCAATGAATATTGATGATTCGAATCAATTGAAAGGCTTTCATCCAAATTATGCAGCTGAATGTATTGTGAATGCACTAGTAAATCGAAAAACGGAATTGGTGCTTGCACCACTATATTATCGTTTGGCTATATTTCTGCGCTGGTTCTTTCCTAATCTCTTTTTTTATATTATGTTTCAAAGAGGTCGTAGAAGTGAAGTAGTTAAAAAAAAGTGAAATGTACATATGGGCTCTATTTGTTTGTGGGAAGTTTTCAGTTTCTGATTCAATGTTTACTTGAAAAGAGGTTTAAAAAATAGAAAAACATTTTTCTTATTTTTCATTCAGTTTTGTTAAAAAAATTTTGTTTTCTGTGAACCAAGAATTGTTTCTCAAATGTTTCTAGATGTCGAACAAACAGTTATCGCTTGTATAACATGTCATTATTTTTCCTAATTATTATCTGTTCTGCACCATAAAAAGAGACACGAAATATTCTGAAAATCTATGAAGTTTTTAACAGTTTTAATAGAATGATTTATATGGCTTTTCTTGAATTCTTTTATGTACAGAGAAGTTTCTTTAATTGACATCTACATCTTTTATTCTGCATGTATTATTTTTAGGCTTTAGTTAAAATTGTAAGCTATGAGGGTGTGCTCATTAAATTCATTCACGTAAATTTGCATATTTGATTTTTTTCATTCAAACTATGAATAACGCTTGATCCTCTTCACTTTTCTCATCACTGATTTTTTGTGGAGACATTGATTATAGATTAGTAATGACTTTTTTCACATAAAATATTGCTGTTACATGACTTGATGTCTTTATTTTTCCAGTGTAGAGAATGAAAGCTAGTGCAATAAAATAAGTTTATGGTTGGTAATTTTACTATATTTTACACCGGGCAAAATTCATCGCATTTAATGTAAATCAGAAATAATTAACAAATGGTAAGAAGTGAGGCAGAATGCTGGTCGCAGTCAGTAAGGTCATCATAACAATACATTCAATTTCAGCTGTGTGATTCTCGGGGTTACATTAAATTCAATCGACCTAGGTTGCAGCGTGATTTTGAACGAATACGAAAGGGTCTAGAACGTGTAACTGGAGATAGAAATGTGCCAAAGGCGAAGGTTAGACTTGTTTTAGTGAAAACGTTCATTGTTTAACTATTCAATCTTACTTTTGTGTAGAGCCTCGTAAAAAGTTTCAGACTTGAAGTCAGACTGTTTTGAATTGGTTTTGAATATTGTAGGTGAACGACTTTTTTCGAAGAAGCTCATATTTATTGGGGAGTTATGTAGCTGGATGCCTGCTTGGATACACATTTGGATAAGTGAAGTTTCGTAAAATCGAGTATTTTTCTTGTCGATTTTGAAAATCATTATTAAATTTTTTCGAAAAGAATACTTTTCAAATATATTCTTTTGTATCATATCCCTTTAAAAATACGGGAATAGCACTCACATAGGTTGGGATTTCATGTTATTCATTTCCTTCTCATGATATATAGTTATGATCTCTTAGTTTTTAATTTTCGTTCGTTTATCTCAAAAAGAAAATTACTAACATATTTACAACACATGTAAGAATACTTTGCTGCCTCAAATTTCTTAATGTTTATGCATCAACTACTGATTTTTATAATTCTTCATTCAAGTACTACAGTGTTAATTTTTTCACTTTGTAAATAAACATTATTATGCTAATTGTTTGTGAATAAATTTGACATTAACAGAGACCAAAATCAAATTTTTCATTAGCTAGCAATAACCGCACATTTTTTCACAATATCTTTGAGAAAAATATGGATACTTGTAGCAGTCAGCACTCGTACAGTACTGATTTTCATCACGGCATGGACCTGAAAGAAGAACATGTCTACTTTGAGTTTTTTATGGAGTAAGTCAAGTCAGTGGATTCGAAGTGAAGTGTAATAGTTATGACGTTTCTTCTTTTAAACAGGTAGAAAAAGAGCTTGTTATAAATTTAGTGTTAGTGAGGTTATACTTAAATGTATGTACCTTTTCTACCGGGAAATCTGGTTTTGGTTCCTGAAGGTTGTTTTGTGGTTGATTGAAGTTCATTTCCTGAGGATGAAAGTAGTCTCTCAGATGAACGATAACGAGATTCATCTTTTGTGGTAGCAGTTACTCGGTTTTTAGTATGCACTGAATGACTTGTAGCAGAACCTCTCTCAGTGGTGTCACGAGTATCATCAAGAGTAATAGTACCGTCCTCATCAGGAATATCTACCGATGGTTGTCTCAGATCAATTAATGATCCCTTCGGATCTACTTTTTCACAAAATCCGCAAGTTTTTGCACACTTCATACGTGCCGTATATGGTCGATCTAAGCAAGTTTGTTGCGAGCAGTGTGGATCACTATCTTTGCACTGTTCATCATTTGCCAAAGATTTACCTTCTAAAAAATTGCATTACATCGAATAAAGCTGCCAATATTTAATAATTTCTTATTATTTCTGTTAGTATATGCTAATGATATGATTTAAGATTTGTGGTATGAATGTAACTTATACTTTTGATTATTATTCATTTAACTTCTTCATTTACTTCAACTACTAATTATATACAATTTTTGATAATTATTCATATTGATATCTGTTACATTTAATTTTTTATAATATTGGTTATATGATTAAAACTTTAAAAAGAACTTGCGAACTTTTTTGCAAATTGTCGTCTGGAATTAGTTCAATTTTATCATTTTTTTTATTGTGCGTTAACGAATCTAATACATTCAATTCTCTTCGATTATCGGTACTCTGAACTGATCCTTTATTACAAAATCCGCATGTTTTTGCACATCGTGCTTTAGCAGTATACGGAAAATCTTTGCATGTTTGTTGATTGCAGTCAAAGTTCAGATCAACGCATTCAATCTCTTTACCTGAAAATAAAAATAACTGAATGAATACCTTTTGGCAGCATTTAAAAGTTTATTGTAAGGATTTTTTTTGTATAAATGCCATAAAATCGAGTTATTTTCGAATTGATTGCTCACTGTAAAACTTGAAATTATTTACAAATTTGTGATAATATATCGTTTTACTACAATAAATTCATCTTCACGTAAATAAAATGAAATATCTTGCGTGTTAATGCGCTTGCAAAGCAGAATCAGACGAGAAGGGATATATAGCTCAAGTTTTGCTTGCTAAAAATCTATATATAAATAATATTCAAACTGTTTGAACAAAATTTAAGATGATTTCCAGCTACTTCTGATAGCTGTAATCAATTCACAATTTGAGAAAGGTTTCATATAATTTAAATTTCGGAAAACTTCTTACACACAGCAGTACCAGCTAGTTGCATTCATGCTTGACTAATAATATGTTATGTAGCAAAGGAGTCTTCATCTCACTAAAATGTACTCATTCTTTTAACAAAAGTATTCTTATTAGTTAGGCACATTTTTACTTATTTTTGTCTTGGGAAGAGTCTAGTAATAAGGTGAAATTATGGTACTTTGAGAAATAAATACCTTTAGAGAGAATGCCTATGTTACCAGATGAACTGTGACCTTCAAATGCAGTAGAATGATGTGTACTTCTGCTACTACCCATGTTACCTTTTGCTGCATCTCCACCAAAATTGCTATAACCACCACTAGAAGAATGCCGACTTGGTGATGAGGGAGTTAACGATGTCAACAAAGTAGTAGCACCAGAGCTACAGAATCCGCAAGTTTTAGCGCATTTAATTTTAGATGTGTAAGGATACATGTTGCATGTTTCTTTGGTGCAGTCAAAGTCCAAATCGACGCATTCCAATTCTTTTTCTTCAAATCAGAAAAAAATTAAGGCATTTAAGCACAAATTTTCTTCGTATTTAAAAATTACTCATTTGGCTATTAAGAAAAATTAGAAAACTAATCACATTAATTTTTAAACTTTTTTCAGTGCAGTTTTTTCGTAAAGTTATTGAAGTTCGCAATTCTTGTAAGTTAAAAATGATCATGCCATCATGTTCTATATGAATACATTGCTTTGTAAGACAAGCAGTGAAATTTTTTGATCATTTCTGAATCGAAAATAATGAACTCACAAGGCTCCTTTGCAAAAATATTCATATACGTGCGTATTCATTTACGAATATTACGTATACGTGATATTTGTATGCGTAATATTGCTTACTTAATGTATATATCTTTGATATCTAAACCTGAATATCTATTAAAAAAATAGAATATTGCTAACGTTTATGTTCGCTATTTAAAAGCAAGAATTTTAAGCGAGAGTGCTATAATCTTAGAATGATTGGTTAGATGTTTTTGCAAAAAGTTCATTGCTTTTATCCTTTTTTTGTATCTATCTAAGAAGAGATGAATATCTTTAGATCACCTTTGCTAAGTCTTGTAGAATGATACGAAGAGCTTTTGCTGCTTGTACTACTTCCCGTTGTTTTCCCCAAACTGTTAAGATTGGAAGAAGCATGATGACTAGATGATGCCGTATAAGTACTAGAAGTCATGATTGAGGAAGAGTCAGATTTACAGAATCCACAAGTCTTCGCACACAGATCTTTAGCAGTCAGTGGGTAGTTACGGCATATTTCAGCTGTACAGTCATGATTTTTGTCAATACAGGGAGAAGATTGACTGTATTCTGAAACATTTATCATGCTTGCTCGAGAATTTTGTTCCTTAATGTTCAAAAGTCAGCACAATTTTTGATGCTGAAAAAGAGCATCAGAAAGAGCACCTTTGGCAGAACATTTGATTTTGTGACCTCATTAATTCAAATAGGTTTATTTAGGCTCAACATTTTGAATTTATATCGAAAATTTCAAATGAATCCATCACTATTAGAAAACGATTAATTACCAATAAAATCATAAATGATATTTAATTCAAGTTATCATCTAATTAAATCTCATTTATATGATCAAACAAGTTAGTAAAATGGTTATACTATTAATCTTTTTCAATTTCTATGCATTATTTCTTCAAGACAATTGCCAATATGTTGAACTGATTTTTGATTTTAATTTATATGAGTTTTATTAAAAAGCATGTGATGATTTTTAAACTGATCTGTACCTGATCCACACAAACCACATGTTTTAGCACAATTAGTTCGAGCGAATTCCGGGAATTTAGAGCAAGTGTTTTTGGTACAAGATTTTGCCTTATCAAAACACCCTAAAAAAGATTACTAATTTACTCTTAAGCACTGAGCATTGAAAGACAAATGTTAAATTTATGAGTAAAATTGATTGTTTTATAACATTTTTGATCAGTTTTTCAAAGTATTATTATTTTTTACACATTTTACAAAAAAAGAATGATACCATATTATTATTTTGTACACATTTGGATAAAGCAAATTCTGAATATAATTTATTGTTTGAAAATGCTTTTAACTGAAAAAAAGATGATGATACCAGTATCGGTTGCTTTGCAAGTCTCAATTAGTAACCATAGGAATATTGGCCAAAGCATTTTCGTTGGCTAGAATACAGAATAAGTTTTTGATGTCAACTAAATTTTGATCATTCAAACGACAAACACAAAGTTTGAATCAAAATTATAGCTTCACAAGTAATATTATCAATTTAACACAAAAAAATCAAAATATTTTATTCATTTCTATAACAAAAGTATTTGATTTAACATTAAATTCATTAACAAATTGATAAAAATTTCACTACAATTGATAAGAATTTAAAATTTATAGAAGAAAATTTTCACATGGCTTAGAAATAACTTGCCGTAAGAAGGTGAAAGCTAGAATCAAAAGTAGGAAAGTAGTTGTGAGACAGATTTGAAGCACTGAAATAAACATGAATGATTTATACTTGAAGTTTCTAATTGATACAAGTGAAAAAGTTCAATAAATCATTTTTTGCTTTTAAGCAATTGAAAATGCTTTATCACGAGTTTGCAAAAAGAGTTTTAAAAGTTTTATTTTTTTCTGTTTTTAAAGTTTGAAAGTTTTTCGTACATAACTTTTAGCATTTTTGACCATTGAATAATATCCAAATGTATTTGTTTATCAGATTCGAAAGCTTATGATCATAATTTTAAGTATTATTCTTCGTAGTTCAGCACAAATAAGGTATGTAAAAACATCAGAGTAGATAATTTTTAGAAAGTATTTTGGATTAACAAAACTTGAACGACAATAACAAATCCAATTTAAAGTTAAAAAATAATGTTTTTTTAGCAATTTCAACTGATAATATTGGTGAATAGTATTCGGAGAAAATAAAATACAATAAGTAAATACATATTTATTAGACTAAAGTCATATTTTTATTTAAATGCTGAATTCGGATTCAAATCAAATTAATTTGAATTTTAAATACATGAGCAATGGATAAAAGTGTTACAAGTAATTAATACTCATGTTCAAAATTTTTAAATACGTGAAAATTAAACTATATGATATTTATCGCATTGCATTCAGAAATGCCAAAGTATTTTTTGGAAGAATCCGCACTGCGACTAAAGAAATCTGACAGAGCTTTCTAAAGATTATTATTTGCTATGAAAGAAAAAATAATTTGCTTTTTTCGGGCTAAAAAATAATTATTTTTTGTATTTGATAAAAAAAATTAAGTATATTGTTAAAATTAATTTCGATCTACGCAATAATTTGGATAATTTATGAAATATTTTTAATAACTATTCAAAATTTGCTAAAATAAAATAGCCTTTTTACCAATTTTCTATTGTAGTTATAGAATTAATTGCTTAAAAGTGACTTGAAAGACAGATCACTAAAAATTCTTCCTGAAACTTTTTATTTGTACGTTTACTACAGTATACAAACTACAAGTTTTGCAAAATCCAACAATTTTAAACCAAAAATTATTACACAATTTTACCAGTGGCTTATAAATAAATGTTTTTCAAAATGTTATTAAATACGTTAAAATTCATTCAAACTTACTAATAAATAACTTTAGAATCATAATTTTTGGATAGTCTTTTAAATTTTTTTGCAAACAGTTCAAAGGTTAGATTAACAAAGTTTATAAAATTGATAATTTTTGATTACTGCAAGAATACCTGCGATACAAGACCGTAGTGAAATCTTTGAATTGTAAACTGTTCTTCCCAAAACTTTTTGTTTGTATATTTACTACAATTTTTGAATTAAAAGTAATTTTAAAAAAAAATGTGAATAATAAATACCAAAAAGGAGAAATTAGATAAAATTAAAGCTTTTTTCACAAAAACTTCAAAAAAGATTGAATTTACTAAAAATTTTTGCAGCAACAAATAACAAAGACTTTTTACAAAAAACAAAAATTGCAGTTGCTAAGATTAATTGCTTTTCCCTCCAATCAACACTACTTCTCATACTGCAATGTTATATTTTTTATTTCTCTCTCCTAAAATACTTAATCTTTTAGCAACTTTTATTTTTAAATTCAAAACAAGAAAAAAAGTAAAGCAATTATCAAATATCTAATTTTTTAAATCAGACGCAGGCATAAAATTCTCTTAAAATTACTTTTAAACAATCAATATTTAAAAAGAGATATCAAAAAATTCAAAATTAAATAAAACTCCACTACCATTAATTTTTAGCAGTCTACTAACATTGACATTGTGAATCTACTCGATGCAGAATAGAATAAACTTGTTTATTTAATCATCAACATATTTGATCATTAGCGAGATTTACAGCTAATATTAAATTTGAATAATTTGGAAATGGAATAAAATTTCAATTTCATGTATTCAAAATTCGATAAAAATGTGCAACAAAAATGAGCATATAAAAATTGATGTAGCAATTCATTTAAAGCAATTGGAATGATTATTTGACTAAATCGTTCGCTGCTTTACTTTTTACAAAGTATTTATTATTCAGCTTTTTTCATGTCGCTGCTGAGTAATCATTTTTAAGGTCATAAAGTTGAAAGCAGTAAAGAGCTTTTTTAGGTGAGAAATTGAATAAAACAGATAGTAATTAAATAATTACAAAAATTTCGTCTTAGAAACTCATAAATGAAAATTAAAATTTGAAATGAATTTTTTTTAGTCAGGCATTTCAGGTTAATATTGCATGAATTAGGCATGAGCGAAACTAAAGAAAGTGGAAGTAATACAGATTCGATATCAAAAATTTTTTCAACTTCTGGCTTAACTCTCATTGCTAAGAATGATCAAATTAAAAAGAGAATTCCAAAATGGTTAATTCATTGTAATAATTGCAATCGACCGGTTACTATCAAGCAGGCATCAAAAGTATTTTACTTTTATTCATTTATTTATTGTTTACTTATCTTTCTGAATATGTAACAATTTTAAGGAATTTAGAAGTAGCTCAAGTTTAGTTATGCGCAATAGAGCCTTCAATGATTGACTGCATTGGAGAGGATAATTAAAAAGTTAGAGTTGATTACTTTATTCAGTTGAACTAAAGTATAAATGCTTTTAAAAAGTTATTACAAAGTTAATACAAAGTAAAGTGTGTATAGTACCTCAAGCTGTTGAAGAATTTTTTTCTTTATTTTTCTAATTCTCTAATTAAATGTTTCATCCATTTAACTAAAGCTATAAATTTGTGAATTTTTTTGCAGCGTAATGTGATTCGAGCATTAAATAAGATATGGCATCGGCAACATTTCACGTGTATTCGATGTCACTGTTTAGTTGGATACGACGGCCGTTCTTATCGAGAGTCACGCACGCATAGCAATTTCCCGATATGTATTGATTGCTATATGGAGGAATACCACCCTAAATGCAATGGTTAGATAGATAATCATTAAGGTCTGATAAAGTTAACTAATCTATACTGGATTGTTCTATCTGCTTCCTTCAACTGATGAAAAAGTTTTATTTTACAAACGAGTTTTTGCAGTATGTAATAAAGCTTTACGTGAGACGTACGTACGAGCAATGAATAAGTTATGGCATCGATGCTGCTTTACCTGTACAAAATGTCATTCACCTTTTCAAAGTAATCAATTACTGACGCTGTTAATTAAATTAAAACGAACCAAATGTATAAAACAAAATATGCCAAAATTTATTTCGTTTTATTTCACTTTTGTAATGGGAGTTAGTTAGAATATTTATAGCATTCTACATTCCAATGTGATTACTGTAAAAGTAAGACTATATGCATCTGTCAATTTTAAGCGGAAAATTAATCGCATAATTTGTTACTACATTTGTTTTTTATCAAAATTTATCTCTTGACAAGAATAGTCAGACTGTGCTAATTAGATATAAAAAATTCTCACTTGACTGTGCTAAATTTTAATCTAATTAAAATAAATGCCTTGTTCAGACGGTGAATATTTTATTTACAATGGTAGCCCATATGATATTGATTGCTATTATCTGACAAAATATGAAAGTTGTTTAACTCCAATGCCACTTTCGCAGGGAATTCCCAACGATTATAATGAAACACCATCAGGTTTTGCTAACCTTCTACCTAGCTTATTTCCGTTCTACAGTTAGTTACAGAATCTTACCAAATACAGTGCTACTAATTTGTAAGATTTTTTGATCTACTGTTTTTACTCCTTTTTTATATACTTGAAATAAACAAATTCCCCAAAATATGGTAGCAAAAAGTAGAATTCCTTTTGATTTTAATGCAGTTTTTTGCAACTGAGTATGCGTTGATTACTGCAGTTATAAGAGATTCATAAATTGCAACGGACATCTTGCTTAGATGGAAAAGATATAATAAAACTGGAATTTTGAATAATTCGATATTGATTACTGAAATACTGAAAGTTTATTAATCTTAAGCTGAAAACATTAACCAAAAGCCTGCTGACGAGACAGCAGAAAAATCGGGACTGAAATCAGATGATTCTAATCAATCCAGTCTCGATTCTCAAACTTCGACCTCATCACAAAGTATAACAGAGGGAAGCGCTAGAAATAGTCTAGCAACTTACGCAACAACTGTGCCACCAACACCAACATCAACATCAACGCCAACATCAACGCCAACACCAACACCAACATCAACACCAACACCAACACCAACACCAACGCCAACACCAACCTCAACTCTCTCTTCAAGTAATGAGTCGTAAGTCCTTATCTATATCTTTACATGTAGTATAAATTTTTAGATGACAAAATTATGGTTCGCACTCATTATTAAGCACAAATTATTCATACACATGTAAAGTTTACACGTTTAATGTACAATACATATATATTGACCGCAGTCTGCAATAAAGTAAGGACTTACAATTGTCTTTCACCATAAGCTTTACGAGTCAATTAAGTAAAATAATTTTATGATTACTTATCAAAAACTACCCTCACCATATAATCGTAACATAAAAATTATCTCCTAAATGCACGCACTTCAGATTGCTGCTACCAAAAAATTCGCAAGGAAAATCAAGTTCTGAATCAGAAACAAATGGGTCATCATTAATTAGTACAGCCACACTACCTTCACAAATTAAAACACCTAGCAAGGAACGCTGAAACGTTTAGCAAAATAATCATTTTTCGATCTTCTGATTCAGTGCAACAATTAATTAAATCAATGACTAATTCCAATGATTCTTTCAAGTGCATGCATAATCGACAATAAAATCTTCAAACTGACTTCTTCACTGCACTACAGTAATTTTTTCCCCTACATTTGTAATGCATTATTCTGAACAAAATAAATTGCATTTTTAGCAAATGTGCTTTGTTGCGAAGATAATTTATAATTGTTTACCCATTTATATGAAAATGGCAGAATCTATTTTTGCAAACTGTGTCACGATTTCAAGACAGCATTATGAATGAAAAAATTACAGTAATAATCATGACCATAAAACAAATTTCATTTTTCACTTCAATTCTAACTTCTGGTATAATCACATGAATATTCTAAAACGTACCAGAAATAGTACTGATCGCTTACGAATCATACTTACATCATTTAAAATCAAAGAATTAAAACAACAAATGATAACTTTTAAGTGAAAGACGTCTAAAACATACATAAAATATTGACATATAATGCTGTACATGGCATAGTTTTGTTAATTAGTTTAAAGATTTAAGGAGCTACAGAATATTGGAATAAATTAAGTTAACAATACCCATAGCTTTCATAACCGCCAAAATTGTATGGTATACAATTGTAGTAAAAAGGAGATTAGTTGGTAAAACGATGAAATTACGATATATGGGTAAAATAAAACTGCAGCAAATAATATCTCAAATCGAAACAAATAGTCATTAGAAGTATTAAGCTGATATAAAATTTAAATAAGTGAATAATATAAAATTTAAGGCTACTGTAATGAGCAGCGAACATTTATGCATGGAGTTTATATTTTTTCATCTCTTTTGTAAAAAAAATATAGCCTGAAAAATTTTCAGCAAAAAAAGAAATATTTATAAAATTAAAAAATGGTAGATTTTTTTAAATTATGAAGTGATCCAACGTGATAATCATTATAAGCTGTCAATACAGCTTATAATGACACATGGTACTGCAATGTAAACAAATTAACTGTTGCAAACGATAGCCACAAATGTTGGATTACAATAAATAAAATAGACGAATAAGTTAAAATGAGTACGATTATGAATATAACAATTAATGTAAATCAATTTCAGATTCACTTTTACCACTTGACGCTGTATCAGTAACCAATGAAGATGCTCCTGTTGATGACATATGATCAAAATAATTGGTCAGTCCACTTCTGAATGTGTGCAAATCAAATTTAGTTTGCTCTGAAACTAAAACTACTGTAAGTAATCAAAGTAATAAGTTAAAATAAACAAAGCGTTTGCCATATTTGAACAAAATAGCATCTTAAAAAAGCCGCCTCTTAAATCAAAAATTTTTTTTAGGAAAATATTTTACGAAAACTTTTTCTAGAAAGAAAATTAGTTTGTTATGTTAAAATACAAAAAAATATGACTAAATTTATATTTAAAATAAACTTTCATTTTTTGAATCAAAAGTTCATCAATTCACTTTACATGATACCAAAAAACTAGTAAAAAATAAAAATAATAATAATAATTCTATTCTGAAGTTCAAAAATTCGACTAGCGTGCAGTTTGATTTTATTAGCTCATAATAGTAGTTTATTAACTTTGAAATGAAATTAATTACCATTTTTCACCCCGAGCACATCCTGAAATTTATACTTTCTCACATCAACTGCTTGTTTTATCCACCAGTGATCACTTAAATCTTGTATTGTGGCTCGAAGATCCGGATTTCGGTGCAAAAGCCAAGTAATTATTTGAAATAATCCTAAAAATTTCAAGCAAATTTATTTTTACTGACTATATTAATTACGATAATATTATAAATGCAAGACTACCGACAAACCAGCAGCTGAAAAAATAATAAAATTCGATTTTCAATTTCGCACCTTCCGAAACCTCCCAAGGAAACCCAATATCAGCTTGTACAGTTTCTTGTACATTATGAAAAGGATTTTCATAGAATACCAGAGTATAGAGTAGAACACCCATAGACCACATTTCCAGCTCAGGTCCGCGATATCTGGGTTGAAATAAATTTTTAAAAGATTAAATAAATATGATGGTTACTTTAAAAATGCAAGCGTTTCAAGCAAAAAACTGATTTCTCCGTTTTTTAATACAATTTAACTTTTTTTTTAAGTGACTAAATGTGATTGCGAAAATACACCAGTAAAACGTACTTGTTTCCACTCAAAACTTCAGGACTGCAATATTCCATTGTTCCACAAAATGTTGAAAAAACAAAATTTTGATCAAAATAGGCAGCTGAGCCAAAATCAATCAATTTGCATGCAAAATTTTGATCAATGATAACATTCTCATCTTTCACATCTCGATGTACAATGTTTTTCGAGTGAAGGTAAGACACAGCATTTACCACCTAAAATTTCTTCATAGAATTATTTATTTTTTAACAACTGAAATCAACGAACAAAACTTTCAGAAAAAAATTCTGAAACAAACTCTATTCACCAACCTGTCGGAAAATATAACTTATTAGAGGTTCATCCAATTTTGGTTGATGATCAATGAATTCAAATAGATCCATTCCACAGCCAAGTTTTTCCATAACCAGCTGATAATACATGTCGTTTTCGAAAACATCTAATATCTGCAAATATCTTTATTTATTCAACACTTGCAAGCATTTTTTGCCAGCAAACTTTAATATATTATCAAGCAGATGAAGAGAAAAAGTAATAAAACCTTTACGATATTTGGATGAGACAAAGTTTCAAGAAGGTGAAGTTCAATGGGTACTACACGATTACCGCGTTTAGGACTTGGTATCCAACTTTCAGGAAAAACCTTTGATTTGCAGATAAATTTAGCCACTGCCTTTAAGAATACAGCAATATAATCAGCTATAAAGCTTGCTTTTCCCTACTTGATATTTATCAAATTTCAGTTCAAAGTCAGCACTTCTTTGTGTTTTTTCGTTTAATAGAAAGAATAATAATTTCAAATAAAAAAGGAGTAACCAAAAGTCCGTTATCTTTGCGAGCTGTTAATTTTACTGAACCAAAAGCACCATTACCAATCAAATGATAAGTATTATAATATTTAGAATACTCTCCAGCCACAGATTCTTCACACTCAGTTTCCTGATGTCCTACTGAATTGGCCTACAATAATTATTATTTTCATGTTTTATTATTGATTACGAATCTGAATAATGTAAATAAATGGCAAGCAAATATATGCAAAAAAATCTAACTAAACAAAATTAAGTGCTTTGTGGAAAGTATTATCAGCTGTATTTATTATTCATAATTTTTTTCCTTCAACATTTAAAAAGTATTCCATTAACTTATTGTTCATTTTACTAAATAAAAATTCCTTTCTACAAAAGCAACACTAACCGTATTGTATTGTCTCGTTTTTACGCTAAAATCACACTGATAATCATCGTCTTCTGATTCATCTTCGTAAATAATTTCTTGCACTGATTCTTGTCCATTCATACCAGTAGAAAAAGCAAGATTTCTTGTACAGTTGTAGTTAATACATATAGCCCATTTAGCACTACCAGCAATTTCTAAGCGTTTGATGTCAAAATATATGGCTAAAAAAAGTAAAAAATAATTTATTCAATCAAAAGTTTATAAATCAATATCGAAATATGCTAACTTCAAAATTCTATAAATTTTACTGATTATAATTATTAACTCAAAAAAAAAAAGATTATAATAATTAATTCTAATGACTATGCCATTTCCATAAGATGAAATTATTTGCATTGCTTATTACAGATAAGAATAATCACTCATAACACATCAACTCAGGCATGCACATTAATTCAAGCTCAAATTTTAATTACCGATTAAACTTCCATCAGAATGTTTTGCAAATCCACTAAATAAACCTTCACGAATAACTAATTCTTTTGAGTTATTCTTATCCATCAAATCAATCATTAAACTATTAATTTCTCCCATGTTATCAGCAATTTCATCGGTTACCATTAAATGTGAACTAAAAACACGATGCTGAATTTTTTAGGACACAAATACCAGTTTTTGTTTATATTATGATTTGCTGACCTTCAATTTTAGGTTACAGTTGAACATTTATTATCTAAGAAAGATTGATAAGTGCTTTTATGATCATTTAAAAAAATAAAAAGTTAGTTTTATTAATGCTGGAGAAATCCATTTTAGCCTCTTAAATTTTTAATAAATCACATGTGGTCAATAGCTAATAACTAAAATTCATTCTTTGTTATATTAATTATTATTATTTCAGAAGTACTAACCTTGTCGAGGGCCGTACAGAACACATTTGCTGGTCACGAGAGACAGATGAATGTATTGAACCATTACTTCGACTACTTCTCACTTTAGATTTTATGAAATCTAATGACTCTAAGTTATTTGTTAATTGTGTAAATTCGAATTTCATACTGTTATTGGCAGATGATGAAGCTGAACAATCTGTAAGTTGAAAGTTCTGTACTTCTGAATTTGTTTATTAAAAACCTTCTCTATTGTTCGTAATTTTTTTAATTTCAATTACTTTACTTTCTTAGATTCATCTAATATAGATTTAGAAGTTTGGCACATTTTAAAACAATAGCATTCTGAAAAATCTTAAAAATAAGCATCTCTATTTTCGTTTAAACATTTCCTAAGGTTTTTCAAAAAAATTAAATTTTAAAAATGCAAACAAGGTATTATGGTGCCACGAAAGATATCATAGGTAATATGGTGCTGTGAAAAAGTTAACAAATGCATTCAAAAAATACCTAGATCCTATCAAGAAATTACAGTGACATGCTTACGATCAAATAAAAGTAATTGTCACTTTATTTGTAAGTAAAGCATAAGAAATGATGAAAGCTTGCGATAAAAAGATAAAATAAAAAAAACAATGATCTACAAAAATATTGAAGCGTTTTTTTGAGTAATTATTTTTTGCATTAGTTAATTAATTAATTTAATTACTTAAGATGAAGAAGACTTAAAAGACAAATAATAATTTTTACTTGCAATATATTCATGAAATTCCGCAAAAATGTTCAACATTTCTTCACCATACGTACGATCCAGTCTGGACGTCAAAATATGAGTATGAAATTTTGGAATTATGTCGGTAATATGCTAAAAAGAAGAAAATAATTTTTTAATCATTTATTTTGTTTAGAAATGAATTCTGATTTTGTTAATTTTTGCAGAAAAGCAATAAGATAATAATTATTTATGCAACATTTGGTAATGCATCAAAAAATGCTTTTAATTTACATCGAAAAATTATTATATAAAATACAACTAAAATTTGTTCAGTGTAATAAATTAAAAAACAAACAATGTTATCTGTGAGCGATTCCTCATCACTTCGCTTTTTACCAATTAAAGCTTCAATGAAATTTTTATTGAAAATTTGCAGAAAGCCTGTTTCTGTCAAGGTGACAACACCACTCAGCACTGAAAACGCTCGAATCTTCAACTCATACATCACTGATCGTTGTGCTGTAAAAGAAGTCATTAATTTTTTTTAATCATTCATTAGTGTTAATCGAAATTCATATTTTATTCATCAAAATTTAAGCTATTAATAAATGTACACATTTTTTTAAAAGTGTTTTTTTTTATTTACTTAATCTTTTGTAACATATAAATAATAAAATGATGATATTTGAACAGTATATTTTGAATTTTTCTTGTTAAAATCATGGCTGATAAATTCATTAATTTGTTCACATGCAAAATCATCGTAAATCAACAATATAATAATTATCAGATAAAAAATAAATGTTAAAACTGATATAATATTTAAAAATGATTAAACAATGATTTTTAAAAATGCCCACAAGTGACAAAAATTTCACAAACATTACAAACTTATATTCGTTAATCACATCGAAGTTTTAACCTTTAACTTTTCATCGCATAACGTGCGCAAAAATTTATTTATAAGCTTATTAGTTATGAGTAGAAGTCTGATTTTTGAGAATTATAGTTAGGAAAGAAAAAGTACCTTTCTAATTCAAAACAAAAAAAATTACCGAAAAGAATTAAAATTTAAGAATTGATTGACTGCAAATACAGACAATCAAAAATTGTGAAAATGAATTATTATCAGTAAAAAATTTTTAAAGAAACTCATATGAGTAATACTTATTAATGGCAATATTATAACAAATTATAAAGGATGAATATGTTTTCTTCGAGTTTATCCTATATATAAAACAATTAAAAAGCTTTTTAAATTTAATTACTTGCGAGTCTAAGTGAATACAAAAGTTGAAAATAACAAACTTTCTGTATCCTTTTCAATGCTAACTTTTACAATAGCTGGCATAGCATTGCCACGTAAACCTATGGCGCAGACGTATTGCACTTCACTGTCACATTCGAGCTGTAAAAAGCAAACATAAAATATGATGAATAATTGAGTAGGTATAATATGAGAATTAATAATCACTTGCAGAGCCGGAATAAGTTTTGTTATTTCCATTCCAAGTAATTCCTTCATGGAGGCATATCCTAGCAATTTAGTCATCACATCATCAATTCGAAAAATACGTCCCTGAAATTGTGACCTTTAATTTCAGCTCTTAAAATAAATTTAAAAATGATGCACTGAATGAAACTTTTCGTGATAAAACTTATTGGAATCAGAATTTGTCTTGTCTCTTTACCATAAAACAGTATGATAATTGATTTTATTGTACCAAAAACAGGTATTATAAATTATTATAGCTCACAACGTTGTGATGAAATCAAATTTAAGGTCAGAAAAAAGTTTACCATAAAAAAAGTATTACTCATATTTTATTGTATGATCTAAATGTTCTCCAACTTGTTTTTAATTATTTAAAATAGAGACTTTGGCTTAAAATATAATAACTGTTTAATTCGAGTTATTTTTGAATTACCATCACGTACATCATCAAATTTAGTGTCAAATAGCAGATCAAATTTTTATGTTTGAAGCACGTTTTACGATATTGCAGAAGCAATTTTTGTGATGTGTACTTAAAACTAATATGTTAGTTTTCAGACAATTCACTAAAGTTAAAGTATCTTTCTAATATATAGCGTATTAATTAATGCCTGGTGCTCAAGCAATTTAGACTTTTTTTTGAATTCATTTTTCTCAATAAAATGACTCAAACTTTGCATTCATAAGTGACACGCTAACTTTTGCTAGAAAAATAAATTTAAAAGCTTGACCTACCTTAGCACCAAGCGTGCAAGCCATCGACAGTCCATCTAGCAGCGATTCCATCAATACAAACCATTCGCCAGAATTAGAATTAGTTCGAGAAGTACTTTCAATAACAGTGCCGGTGCTATCGGCTGCACTAACACTATCAGTGGAAATTCCATTTGCGACACGTTCAGTACTTTCAGTAGACATTTTCGTATTTACCTTTACTTGCATATTTTTTTCACAGTCTTTCTTTCCATTTTCGAGTTGTGCCTTTCCAATCCTTACTTCGACATCTAAAACTAACTTACTTACTATAATTTTTAAATTTTATCCTAAAACTATGCTAATGACTTTCTTTTACATTTACGCATTTTAAAAAAAAAAGATTGCTACTGCAACTCAAATTACTCCATGTCTGAATTGGCCTTACTCTATACTTCTTTAAGCACTGCCAGACAGAAAGAATGACACGCATGAATAATAAATACGTCATGTCTGTCTGGATTCTTTAAGAGGCCTTACGCTTTCACAAACTAAAGCAATTCAAATAAAGAGATGACGTATGCATAATCGATTATCGTTTTGCATTTGAAAAAAAAAATTTGAATTTAAAAAATTTGCTTGCTCAGTTTTAAGTTACAGACGAAATTAATCTGTCATTTAAATAATTTTATTAAAATTTTTCACTTATGCACTGAACTGAATTATATATCATTGTGTCACAAATATTCCAACAAGTTTTACACATGAAATCAGAATTACCATTCACAGTTGCTTTGAGTGGAGTTAAAATGCCTTCCACCATTTGACTCAATTTGCACACAACAATTCTCAATTAATTTGATAGAAACCAATTATGATCTGACCGAATGTGCAATAGATTTGTAAGCTTTCTCATCTATAATATATTTTTGTAAACAAAATTAAATTGCAACACTACAAAAAACACAGCTATCGTATAAAATGTTAAAGTATAGCTGATATTGGATATAAAATATAATCCATTACTTAATACAATATTTTATTTTTCGAGAAATTTTGAGAAATAATGTGAAATAATTCAAAAAAACGAACCAAAATACAATCAAAGTTTATGTATTTTTCCTTTTCCACGGCTAATCATACGAGGAGCAGTCAAGCTGGGTGGCAATCAGATAATTGCAGAGAATTTCACAGTCAAAATGTTTGATAGTGTATGATTCTTTCTGATGCTTGCCGAAAATCAGAGAATCTAAAGGAGCATTATTATAAGAACGAACAAATTTACTTGTTGTCACAATTTGTCATTTTCACTCTCAGTATCAAAAATTCAATAAAAGATTGAGAATCGTAGGATTAATTTTTCTTGTGACTGATGGAACTTGCAGAAAAAACAGAACGATAAAACAGAAAGCATGCATTTTATAAAATATTGAAAGTTGCATATGAAATTTACATATTCATTTATAAGCAACAAATTATACATTGTTGCAAATGGTGAACTGAAACGATTGCCAAATATTTAATAACTAAATTTTTTAGAGGAAAATATAAGTTTCTGGAATAAAATCACAAATAATGTTCAAAAAATTCCAAACAATAACTTACTATTTGTGCATGTTTAAATATTTTAATTAAAAATTGGCTTTATCAGAAATCAAATAAATTCAAAAAAATAGGAGAGCATAATGAGTATAATCAAGTGAGTCTCAGTATAATTAGCTGCTAAAAAAAAACATTTTGCTATAGCGAGCTATTCCAATAGACAAAATGAATATAAAACACAGAACATTGAGACGAAATTTATGGTAAACAATTTTGAAATGTAATGACAACCATATCTTGCTGATAATATCATCTTATCAATTTTTGAAATAAGTACACTAATAATTTGATCACAATTTTGATTGAAAAGAGAATTAAAGACTTATATAAGTCAATGTAAGTCAATGTAAGACTAATGTAAGTCAATAAAAGTCAGTGAAAGACTAATTGTAAGTCAAAAATAGTGTTAAAACAAGTCAATAAGCATAATTAAAAAAATTAATTCATCGTTAGCTTTCTTATATTGAATTAAGTGAAAAAATAAATAAAATAAAACAATCAGGTTTAATTTATAATGACAGCCTGAGAACAGTGAAAATGAATTTACCGACATAATGCATAAATTTTACACAGGTACGAAAGAAAGCGCTGTTAATCTTTTTTAACCTTTACCCTTTAAAAAAATTTGAACTACATCTTCAACTGCAAATGCACGTAAAATGTGATAACACACAAGTTGTAACTAAAATTAATCATTGTAAAGCAAAAATAAACAAAGTGTGAGAAAAACAAGCTTTAGAACATCACAAATGATAGAAATCTTTGATTCGGAAAAAATCTGTTACTCAAATAATAAACAAAAAGCTAAATAAATGGGTTCTTGGCATCTTGATAAAAAAGTCATACCTTGCAAGCATTCTTTTTTGTATATGTTTTCTTACATTTTGAAAAATAAAGTATATGTTTAATTTTACTTTCGGAAACAATATTAAGCAATTACTTGTAATGCAGTGATGTTTGTTATTTGACTCAACGACTAAATATTTATTCAAGAGAGTCATAACTGTGGGTTATATTCATTTCATTCAGAAATGGATGATATATTATTCATTTCTGAATATTATATACAATTTAGATGCACTGAATGTCCGATATTAGTCATAAAATTATATCAGTAATGAAAAAATGGGATATTATGATTAAAATGCAAGCTTGATGCAAAGCAATATGGCATATAATATTAAATTCCGATTTTTATTTTGTAGAATTTACATTTTATATATTTTTTATTTTTACGACCTTCCGATTGTAACACAAAAATGATAATCACTGCTGCTATTGAGCAAATATTGATAAGAAAATATAAGAAGAAGTGATAATGATATTACGCAGGAGTTGTGACATCGAATGTAAGGATTTCCTTTCTAAAAATGAAAACAATTCTGTAAACAAGTCTTGTAATACACAAACACAGATGCTGTGTTGATTCAAGCAAGCACTTTCTCATGTCTCAATTTGACTAACTAAATTATCAACGGCCAATTTAAAAAAGTGGTAAACGTACAAGTACATCATGACAGTTTGGTACTTGTAAAACAGTACACTACTTTCTACGTCATCTACAAATATTACAAAAAAGTAACCGTAAGTACTAATATATTTATTTTATTTACTCACTTCTACTTTCCGTTAAAAATGAGGCAAATTTTCATTATTTTTTCCAAATGTATTATAAATCAAAATAGAGCGAGCATTTTAATTCGTTCAAGCTGATTTCAAACTGAATTAGTTGTGAACTTTTGAATTTTATTTGTCAAATTAAAGAAGGTTGAAATTGTAAATGAAATGAAATTTAGAATGTTTTAATTTCTTGCAAATGATAAATAAATAAAAACTCAGAAATGTAATATATCTTTTAGTTATTATTTTGCTGTTTTTTGAAATGATTAATAGTTTCGAACTAAAAGATTCTGAAATGCAAATTGGGAAAAAGTTAGTGCCAAATTAGCAATAAGGTACTGTGAATATTACAGTAGTAAAAACATGATTATATTCAATAAATATTGACAAAAAGCAAATAAGCGTGAATAATAATAGTAACAGTAAATTGTAATAAACAGTGATATGGTAGATTTTTAAATAATCGTTCTCAAAACTGAATATAGTGATTAAGAGACTTTTTCTAGATTTTTTATTGTTAAAAATTTTTGAAAAACATAACTTGAAGCGTCTAATTTTAGCAATAACTGCTACAAGCATATACTTGAAAGCAATGTAATTTTTTGATAGGGATTAACGTTTTTTGGAATTGAATGGAATTTAAAATAATATTAATTTAGTATTTAATAACATAGTGGTAGCATACCTTTGTAAAAAAACATATTTATTGCTTAAATGCATTTGTATTTATTCCAAAAGTTGTGATTTTGATGACAATTTGTTGTTTATTTCGTGTTCAAGCAGCACGGAAAAGCAAAGTTATAAAATAAATCCTAAAATTTGCGCTTTCTTTCAACAGCAATGTTTAGGTATTTTTTAAAAAAATATGCTTCATTCAATTTTAATTTCAAATTTACTTTTTTTTAAATCCATAAAATTTTTAACAACTGAATATGAAAAATCATGCTAACAACACAGTTTTTCATAACAAGTTTTCAACTTTTTTCCTTTCAAAATTTTTGTCTAGCCAGTCAATTAAGATTGATAAAAGTTACGCTTAAGTTTAAAAATTTGAAACTTTTAAATTTGAAAATCAACCCTATAAGAAGCTTTGAAATAAAAAATAATTTGATGAATAAAAATAGAAAGAGATACAATTTAAGTACTAATATTGTTTAAATTGAGACTAGTGTTATAAAATAACGCTTAATACAAACAGCGCATAAATCCTTACATCCATTTATTCTCTGCGAATAATCATCAATTGCAACCCACGCTGTCTGTCTACTACTGCCCACTTTTAAAAGAGTGAAAAGGATAATTGAGGACTGGTTGGTTTGATGTAAAATGTTCTCTTGCTAAAAGCCAGTAAACAAGTTCCAATTTTAATTACATATTTTAAATTCAGACTGACTGACTAACTGACTGACTGACTATTTGCTGTTATTTTAGTACTACTTTTCTTCGCATTCAATACTGAAGCAAACATTTTTAACTTCAATCCAAATGCAGCAAAAATTGCACGCATTTCATTCAATCCATGCCTTTTTAGATCATACTTTATCTATCTATCTATCTATCTATCTACCTAAATCTTTGATATCTGTTTTTCTCATAATTCATGAAAATTACTTATTTTACTAAAACTTATAGTATAAAAAGTTAATATATAAAATTTTTGCTACTATGCTATTTGGAATATTTCAAAATGTGATTCATTGTGACGTAAGAAATCTAAAAACACAAAAAACTTCGATTAATTTCGAATAAAAAAAATAATAAATGAACATGCAATAATGAAAATGTAATAATTATTCAAATCTCAAAAATACGTACGCCAAAATGCAATGGATATCTGTATGTGTTTTTTCAGCTTGAAAAAGATAAGCAGAAAGTTTGTTTTAAATCAAGGGCTTCAGTACTGATTTACCATCAGTGATCAATGCATATGCTAATTAAATTATACATGTTATACCACTTTAAATATTTATAATATTTAAAAAAAGACTCGTATTAGTGACGGG